CTGTCCTACGGTGTGGTGTGTGATCTGCTATGTGCAGGCAGGGCTGTGTTATCCTCAGTCCCACGTGAAGGCACAAAAACTTTTTAATCAACTCAGCGTGTCCACACCAGCAGAGCTTTCAACTCTACCAGGACTGTACTGTAAATGCTGCAGTGAATATAGTGTCTCCTTGCCTGTATGGAGTTTCAAAGTGATTCTAAAAATGTGCTTGCAAAACATGAGAGCAAAGAGAAGAAATCAGCAGAGGAAGGGAGTCCTTCTGTTTCAAGGTACTGGTCAGTGTTGCAAGTGGCATCTGGGTCTCAGATGTGGACCCTAAGAAGTAGATGGAATTGATTTTGAGATCTTTTATCAAAGTAGATGATAAAATTATTGCAGTATTAATTTAAGTATGCATAGTTATCAAATTTAGTTGTTCGTATGTGTGACTAACATGTTAAGAGCAATGCTTTAGGAAACAATATATTGGTAAGAATTTAATTTCTTCTGATATATTGTGCACCTTACTCAGTATGTCCTTGGATGTATAGCTTCATTTCTTTTTTCCCCAGGAAACTTTTTGCTGTAAGATATACTGAAGTTATGTTTTGTTAAAATATAACTTAGGTTTCTGTACAATTTTCTATACAATTTTTCTATTTGTTTCATCAGATGTATGAGCATTGCCCCAACAGGTTATTTTACTCTATATCATAAATGTGTACTTATTGAACTTTAAAAATTAACATCACAGAAAAATGTATACAGTGGAGGTACTATCAAGTGTGGCATATTCTTTAATGATCCCCTCTGGTATCATAACCCTGAGGAAAGGATTTGCCTCTTCTTTGATTCTTACATAGGTGAATACATTAAGCTGCTCATTTCGTTGAAGAAAAATTGAGTAATTCCTTATGTGATAAAAACTTTTGATTGATAGAGGAAGGAAAGCTTTCTGAGGGAGTCCAGTAAACAAAGTTACTGCTCTGTAGTTTTGTGTTAATATTACATATTTCTGATTTGCTGTGTTGTAGCAATTGCCCATTCCTTGATCAGTAACATAAACCACAAACATTCTTGAACTGCTTAAAAATTGACGTGATAAAGCAATAAAATCTACGGAATTGTGAGTTAGTTTGGGTTAACTGATAACTTCTTGGACAAGATCCTGTAGGACTGTAAAAGCTATTTTATTCCTTAAGTTTTTCTTCTTACAATTGCATTAAGATGTTTTGTGTATGATTTATTTAAACAAAGCAATAATGCATTTACTAACTGTAAGAATATAAGCATGTTTTTGTAGGACTATCTTCTGAATGGTTTTTATCAAAGTCATCTTTCAAAGCCAATAGGATCAATTTAAAAATAGTGTCATAAAATACAAAGAAGCAGAAAAAAAAATTAGAACTATATCCAGGCCTCATGGGGCACAGCTGATGCTGACTTCTCAGTGGTCTTTTGTTCACAGACAAAGGACCTACTCAGGATCCACACAGAGACCCACCTCTTAGGGTATTAAATTGTGTGTTCAGTGCATTTGTTATCTTTCTTGAATTTGATTTTGGAATCAGTACTGGAGAATAGTGATACCATACAAAAAGATTTTTTGGTTGCATTTCTGATATACTCTGTAAGGTACAGGACTTACTTTGGCTGCTGTAAATTAACTGTGTGCTTTATTGACTGCTGTAATGTGTACAGTGATCCAGTCTCTCATGAAAGCCACCAATCTCTCTTCTTGATGAAAAGAATGTGTGGGAATTCAGATTCAGAAACTTCCACTTAATTGGGTGGCAGAGAATATGGCTCTTATTTGAGTTGTGCTGCACTCCGTTCTTGTAACCAGATAGTACTTAAGCTTTGTAGCTGCAAAAGGAAAAATACTGGGTGTTGGCATCTGTGTTGGATATGACTGGGAGTTGACAATGGTTATTATTTTGGGGAGAGTACTCAGCATTTTTCAGCTGTGCCATTTTTATTACATTATTTCCTCTTGTTCTGTGTTGTGCAGAGGTAGGAATGTGCTGTGCTGGTGTTGAACAGGATTGTGCCCCAGCATGCTGAATACTGTCAAATCAGTATGAAGGTCTAGTTCTAATTAATTTATAACCAGGAGAGTGCATCAAGAAGGGGGAAGAGGTCTTTTTTGAAAGCCTAATCTGGTGAGAAATTGACTGGAGATTCAAGTAGTCTCCATAATTCCCTTGGCTTTTCAAGAGTACTCCAGCAGTAGTGGTTGCACAGCCCCCCTCCCTGACATGCTGAAATACTCTTGGTCAGCATATGCCTGGGTATCCTGATTGAATCACCCAGCACATTCCAGGTCATTTGGAAAGCTAGATACCCCGCTGCTGAGTGAGATTGTGCAGGAAAAGGATGCAACTTCATGCTGGAGCTTAGGGATGGAGTAAAAATTAATGTATCCTATTAAAGCTTGAGAGGAAAATTAGGCAGGAAGATCATTACTTGATCTGGGATTTAGATTTAGCATTAGAGCTGTGCTCTGTTGCTGGTTGTTCAGTTTGTGGAGTTTAGGACTCTTCTGGGGTCAACAAAAAGTAGCAACAACAAAAAGTAGCAACAAAAGTAGTCTTTGCGTCTTCGTGAATTGAAAAATAGTATTTCAAGTGAAAATAAAAACTGCTCATATCCCTAAAGGATGCTACTTTTTGTAGCATTGTACTTTTTAAAATACAAACTGTACACTTTAGGCGAGGAATGATTAATAAAGGAGGGGATGTCAGCATGCTTCACCAAGCCACTAAGAAAGAGTGGTATCTCTGGTGTGGAAGAGGCATTCACATCCCATTTTCCTAGTTTCTCAGTCTACTCTTAAAATGTATCCTCAGTACTGCTTTTATTGCAGTGGTTTTCCACCACTCTGTGGCTTCACTTCACACTGTGGATTCATTACATATACATGTCTGTACTTGGGAGAAGGTGAATTACTGATTCCAACCCATGCTTTTAGTTATGGACTATTTATTTTATTGAGGGTGGCCAGAAGGTTCAGTGTATCCATGAACATGCAAATGTCTCAGGTGGGTTAGGCACAGTCATCATGAGGTCAGTAAAAGGTGTGATGTAATTGGGGTTTTCAAAGCAAAAGAAGCTGAGCTTACATGTAGAAGTAGTTCTTTGTACCCAACCGTATCCCACTTGGATCCAGAGCTTTGTTTCAATGCTGTGCTTTTGGTTTGGATGACTTGATGGAAGCCCAGCCCAGGTATTGTGATGTGGCCTTAAAAGAGCTGATCTGTCTCTCTCTGCATGGGTTATAAGTGGTCCTAAGTGCAATTTCTTAGTCCTTACCTGCCCCAAGGACAGCTATCATAGAAAGAAGGTGTGTCTTGGAGACCCCCTCAAGGTGGGATCAAAGCAAAGAATTGTGAGCTCTTGCACTATAATGGCTAGGCTGCTATAAAATGTTCCCTAATCTTCCTGTCTATGTGATATGTGCATAAGGTTGGGCTAAGTGATCTTGGAGGTCTTTTCCAACCTTAATCATTCTGTATATTTATATGTATATGTGTCTGTGCACATATAAAAGCATTTAAATAAAATTCCTTTTTATTCATTATGTTTTTCATTTCTCTGATAAAATGCTTGTGACCAGGTAGAATTTCTGTGAGAAGAAAGAAGAAACATTGCATCTTTTTAAACTTTAACTATTGATTAAAATTTTTCTCTTTTTAGATTTGAGAATGTGATCAGGTTACAGAATCCAAGTCATGTCTCTGCCCCCATGTGAACTCATCTGGTTAGCTTTTCCCAAGGCCTGTAATACAGGGAGTCATCAAGACCCTGAACAAAGACAGTCAATCTTTATACTGTGAAAAAGAAGCTTTATTTTAGTTATTTAGAAAAAAAGAATTATAAAAGTGACCTTTATTGCCTTTCCACGCATTTTACGCTACTTTGAGTTTAGTTTAACCAGAGGAATCTGACCCTCTCCTAGTAATGAAACTTGCATTGAATTCTAATGGAAGAAATTTAGATTGAGGCACTTGTTTTTAATAATTAATTTTGGGGGCGGGTTAAGTGTTTGGGAATCATACTGAAAATTTGGTGGCAATACCATTACAAAAACATGTGCGGATATCTCAGTGTCATACATGTTTGTGTACATTTCTGGAACCGAACTGGGGTGGGAGAAGGACAGATGAGGTTTGATTCTCCATGTTCCTCTATTTTCTTCTCTGTAAGATGGGGGTGTTTGGATTTCATGCAATTTTACATGCCATTCATGCTCTTGGCAAGTGACTGCACAAAGATAATAGCAGCAGGAGAAACAGAGCTCTTCCCCTCTGGGCTCTTAGAGAAAGGCTGGATTGCTCTCTTTGAGCCAGCACATGGATGAAAGTCTGCTATCAAAGCCTCATTTACCAAAGAGGTAGATAGCAATTTTATGTATTGAGGGAATAGAAAAAACCAGCCTCACTTTTGGACACCTGCCTTTCAGATACACATTTGTCAGACAGAGAACTGAGTGCTGCAGATTGCAAAGCAAACACTTTCATGTCTTTTCTGAATATGTTTTATGGCCAGTTTTCCTGCATGGGTTTCCATAATGGTTATTGTCCATAATTTTGTACCTTCTGCAAGTTGTAATTTGGTCCAGGCCCCATAGCTTCCAGGTGGTTTTGGATAAATAGAAGTTGAGCACTTATTATAGATGCTGTTCCAAAGATCATTTTCCCATATGCACATGTTCATGACATACAGCTAATGACAGAAAGCACTAACATCCCCATCCCTGGAAGTGTTCCAAAGGCATGTGGATGGGGCACTTGGGGACGTGGTTTGCTGGGGCACACGGTGGTGCTGATTTAATAGTTGTACTCTATGATCTTGTAGATCTTTTCCAACCATAGTACTGTTATGATTCTATAAATGCTTCCTGTAAATGTTGCTTATATGTGTGAACAGTGCCTCTCAAAATATATAGTTAACATTTGAACACCTAAATACTTTTCAGAGCTGATAAATACATTGTTGTGCTTGGTTTGTTTTTTATTTAGATACTGACCGAGCTTTAGTACTGCTGGAAGAATATTGCAAAAAACTACAGAAGCCAGAAGAGCAACAACTGAAAAAAGCCATCAGAAAGGTGATGGGCATCTTTAAGAGCAGCTTGTTTCAGGCACTGCTAGGTAGGTACTAATGTTTAATACTAGGTGCACTCTCTTGGAGGCCAGAGCTAGGTCAGACCTAGTAACTTTCTTATTATTCACTATTTAATTTGTGTTTATGGTGAAAAGCATGTTGAAATGATCTTTACAGGTTCTCTGAGCAGAAACTTCTTGTACTGGTATTTAAAGGTATTTTCTTACTTAGAAGGAAAATTAACAGAAACCGAATACAAGTTAAGATACTGAATAATTATTCCTAAACCTTGCTGCTTTGCTTTATTTAATGTGAGATGCATAATCAGAGTAAGATATAACTGTTTAAGCAAATCTGAGGATGAAGCCATCTTCACAGGTAAATGGCCAAAGTTTGATTTCACTGGCACCAATTAGCATTGAAAATCTTTGTCTTTTGAATTACATTTTTGTGAAAAGTGTCAGCAAAGAAACTCAAAAATGAGTTAAGAAAATTGCTCCAGGACACAGTTTGGCAGAATGTTCCGGTTCATGTGGTGTTGCAGTGTTCAGATAGATGTGGTGGTGTATCACTCAGCCTTCCTTCCACTTACTTGAAGATCCCCATTTCATCTTGTAAATGATGTTAAAATCAAGTGCTTGTGGTTTTGGAGCTTTGTATAAAGCAGCCTCCATAAGTTATATATAATGGTATCAAGGTCATACATGTTTGCCTTGGCATTCCTTTGTTCCTTGTGCTGTGCCTGAGCTGCCAGTCGTGGGAAGTGGTGACTGTAACTGTGCATCTCCCTTGCTCTATCTCCCTCCGCCCTCTTGCTCACACTGCATGGCCCTTCCTTCTCACACAACTGCATTGTGTGAGGAGCTCTTCTCAAGGGTGCATTTCCTAACGCGGATTACGTTTGTGGAAGCACACGTGCCTTCAGTTTATGGCTGTTTGGAGCAGAGTATCAACTGTGCTCCTTGCAGAGCTACAGTCAGGACCAGTTAAGGAAAAATTTTGATTGTCATAAAAGTGGAAGCACATCAATAATGCTTTATTACTGTGAAGACAATGGAGGTCTGGGACGAGTTTCAGGAATTCCTGTAGCATTTGTAGAAAATGTGTGTTACCAGTCTCTGACATTTCCTGCAGATGGAATTAATTAATGTTAGTGCTATTTTACTTGTAACTTTTCTTAACTTCTTTGAAGTGATTAGCTTTATTTTATAAACTCTACATAATTTTAATTGCTCTGTATGCTTTAAAAAAGGAAAGGGGTTAATAATTGAATTTACCAAGTAGTTGTAAATAGATTTGAAAATAAGGAGAAAAAAAACCCTGGACCTTTCCATATTGTTTTTATGAAGGTAAGTATGCATATAGAAATGTGTACTGAAGAAATACACTAGTCACAGGAGTGACATTAGCTGTACATTTACTTCTGCAGTACTTGGAAGTAATTTAGAGTACTTCAGAGTATTCTAACAACATGTGTTCTTTGTGTGTGGCTACAATACAGCATCTGTTGATGTATTATGCATGTTAGAAATGAAAAAATTATTATAGCTACAATAAGGTTGAATTCAAAGAATAACTTAGATCTTTTGATTGCTACCATAACAGATTGAGGAGTATGGTGTTACAGAAGTTAGCATTTTAATTTGTGGACCTTTAGATGTCTTTCCCTTCTTCTTAAATGCTTCCTTTTATAGAAGAGATTTGGGAATTGCAAGACATGTTCCAAGTGTCTCATTATTACATTTGGTTTGTTTCTTGGTTGGTCTAGATTCTGGAACAATACTAAAGTGGGATCTCTCCATGAGAGGAGACATCCCACACATTTTAAGTGTGGTAGATTGTTATTACACAATCAATAATGAGATTCTTGCATAATTAGTATTTTAAAAGACCCTCACTTCCACAACATCTGTTTTAGCTTCATGGCATAGTTTCTCTATTCACCTATAAATCAGACCACCACACAAAGGAATACCTAAGGCAGAGCTTCTGGTCTCTTCTCAAATTTTGTACTGCTAATCTTCCTTTGTCTTTTATATTTACGGAATGTCTAATGGTCTTGAAAGTGTCCATTTTTCGGTGCCTGATCTTAATGAGACTTAATTTTCAGAGTCTGAAAGTTCATTGCTTTCCAAAACACTCTCATTTATAGCTGTCAAATACTGGTTTTATCCAGAATGATTGACCTTTTGAATATTTAGGCTGTAACTACTAATGAAAAATGTGATTTTTGTACAGAATCATTAATCTGGATGCAGAGGTGCACATTCTTACCAGGAATAAAGTTAACATAAAATTATGTGCCAAAATCAGTTTTTGTAGGTCCCACAGCTACAGTGAGCTTTGGTTCCTTTACAAATAAATTTATCCATTGTAACCATCTCTGCCCTTTTAAGTGTCAGTTCAGTTCTCATTAACTTCCAAAAGGCTTTAAAAATCTGTTGGATGTCTTAAATTAAATATAACAAGAAGAGATAAAGAAAAATAATAGTCAGTTTTCAAATCTAGTGTTGTCTAGTTCCTTTTATTCTCAAATTTATTCTTGTGTGAGTATGCTGATTTGGTTCAGCTATCTTTGAACTGGCTTCTCAATATGTGTCTATTTTTATCTTCAATTTGTTTCATAAATATTAAATGTGGACTACTGAACAGTGGGGTAACATGAGAAAAAGGAAGATTCAATATTTTTCTTGCATATATTCTACACAAGCGATAAGCCACTACAATCATGTAAGGAAAAGTTCTGAAGGATTATTGAAGGATGGTCCTTTTATATTTTAATTAGTGTTTAAAAGCATTCCCTTCTCCCTTTGGGCTTTTCTTGTTGCTGGATGTCCTGCTAGAGTGGCTGTGCTCAGTGACAGCCGAGTTAGTTGCTAAGAGGCACATTTTCAAAGTGACATGTGGAACTGCAGTCTCTGGAGTGCCACTTGCTCTCCTGTGGCCCAAACACAATGCTTGGAAAATCCAGCCCTAAGAGGAGGGAGGAGGAGCAGCTCTTCAAAAGGAGCATGCAAGGGGAAGAACATCAACTTAGATATTGACATTACTCTTAAGTTAATTCTAGATTTCATTCACCAGAAGGATTTTACCCACTCTTCTATGGGCAGTGAGGAGTTATGCTGTTGTTAGGACCTTGTAAGGATTTTTCTTTTTGTAGGTTCATCTGTAGCTAGCTGATAGTAAAATCACAAGGTTCTCTTAAATTGTACCACATGTGCTGATGTGAACATTTTTAAAAGGAAGAGGAAATGAAACCGCCAAAAATCCAAATGTCTCATTTTTTGGGATTGTCTCATAATGGGCATTTTGGAGACATCGCGCTGAGGTAAAAAAGGGAAACATGAAAGAGTAATAATAGTCATCTGGATGTGTCAGAGCAACCAAAAAGTTTTTTTCTAGTTCTGTTCTTTAGGAAACTTATATTTTAATAGTTTAGTGCAATTTATTTTGAGAAACCTCTGCTATATATTTGCCTAGCCTTCATTTCATTAAGAAAAGTGCATGATTCCACAGCTTAGAGGGTGGTTCTGTGGAATGAGAATGGATAAAAGCGGTTTATGTCAGAGTTGTTTGGTTTTTTTTTGTAGATACATCTCCATAAAACATCATTTTGTTTCTAGTAGGAATTAAAGTGCCACAAATAACTGTAATCATCTTATGCAGTATTAGGTAAAAACTAATCTCCACAGGTTTTTCTAAAATTCGGATAAACCCAATCTGCAGTCAGTGACGTATTTCCTGCAGACTTTGAAACCATTTCTTGTGTTTTTTATCTCATGCTTGCGTAACTTTGCCTGAATTTCAAAATGCCATATTTCTAATTAAAATATGCATTACCTTTTTTTTAATGGTGTTGTACCATTTTTGTAAAATAGTGCAGATGTTCTGAAACTGCTAGTCTTAAAAATTTCTGTAACAAACATTGCTTTTACAGAATTTACTCATCTGTGTCACAGCCAGCACTTAGACTTAGGATACAGTGTTACATTTCCAGTAGGCCAGTTTTTTAGATTCTTCCTCATCTAGCTCACTTTTAAATAAACCTTGTAATAAAAATATTTTTTAAAAGAATGATTGTGTCTCTTAAAGTAAAAAAGGATGTCAGATGATTTTTCTGTGATCTCATATTATTCTTCTGTTAAAAGAGTGTATAAATGAAGTGGCAATATAACTCAATAGTGTTACATTAGTCTCCAAAATTCCAGAGATGTAGTTAAATCTTGCATTCTTCCCTGTTACTGGAAGGTGCCTAGGACAGATAAAAAATATAAAGAGGAAATTTCAGAGATCCAAAGCAAGTTTCCCTTTGGCCTAATTATTTTAGGACATAGGTATCTATTAAAAATAGCATAGTGTTTGAGAAATGCAAGTATTTATTATAGCTAGCATGAAGCAAGCCAAGAGCTTGATTTCCTATGGATTTGTCTTAGTTTGATCGACTTCAGTGTCTACAAAGTTGTGAGCTGGGTCTGACACTTCTCTTGCACTTAGGGCCATGGTTAAACTTCTGGATAATTCAGATATGAAAAAAAACTGGAGAGGAACCTATCATAGGAGTAATGATGGAATGTTGAAACCTGTCACTGTCATAAAAAGAAAACTCTAAGAATGAAAACTGAGGATTATTTTGATAGGCACAGCCAGGCATGTCAACTGAGAATAGTGATGGAAAATGGCCCCTGCATTACATAGGCTTTAATGTTGAGAAGAATAATGATACTGTTGACCATACAGGGAGAAGAAGAACATATAGGAGATGAGTGGTAAGGCAAGGAATTTGTTTAGGCATGTTGTGTTTAAGGAGAAAGTTTTTAATGAAATTTGAGAAGAGGGAAGGAGGTGAGTCAGGACTAGATGTATGAAAAGCAGGATACAAGATAAGAAAAGCAGACCTACATCACAGTCCTGGGCTGGAAATGGGGCATGTACCAAAGTAGTGTGAAGAGCAGTTAGAGAGGCCAGAAAATGCGAGAATGGCATCCTGGTCATAAATGGTAGTGCTGAGATTTGCACAAAAGACATAGGAATAATCTATTAAATACTG